CAAAAGTAATAATACAGATATAATGAGACATGCATAACAATACGGCATACGGCAATCTCAATCGGTCCATATCCAAGAATATATCCTCGAGATATAATTCACGGAACCCATCCTATAACTCTTGAGACATTCCTACAGTGCTCCTCAACAGATAACAACTCTATGACATCTGGCCAACTGAAACTCCTTACAGAGGCCTCTCCAATGTAAGTCCCCTATGGAAAATACGGCAATAATCTACTTACCAGAGATACAGGTATAATCCAACATACACCAGACAACATGTCAACATGCATGATCATATTATAGCACATATCATTACTATCAACAACTTTCAACCACTACCCCACTGGGCATGGTGAAGCACACATAGGGATTAACCCCAATACCAAGGGATTACCTGTTAGAAGCTCCCAAGCTAGGTAGCTTGAATCTCAAGTTGCTTCACACTTTAACTTTAACAAGAAATGCCTACAACAAGTGGTCATTCCCACTATTATAATGTACCACATGATAACCCAATTAGTTATCCAATCAATCACATAATAAAATAAACGGTTACTTACCATAATTCTTATGGTTAAGGATCAAAGGCAATCCAAAAAGCTTCAAGAGTCAGTCCTCTACGATTGTGTCCGAGGGAGGCAACCTACATTGATCACAGAATTCATGACCAATTATTTTTCCAACAAGTCACAAGCAACAACACAATATAACCATCTTTTATCTATACCCTTTGCTTCGGCCAACAAGGCCCAAATGCCCTAATTTTGTCGTTAATTTTATTCAATCATTCTTATAGTTTCCTTAGCCTTTTATAACACCATACCAACCCATATTTACATTAAATCATCACTTAGCATAATTTTCCCTCATTTAAGCCTATAAGGTCGAGGGGTAACATCCAAAGGAATAAGGAGTTTTTCTTGCTTTCAAAGGTTCTAGGCACTCATATAGGTCCACCTTAATTGATCCAAACACTCACCACATCAACTCATCAAACTATAACACCATTTTTCTATAAAAAGCCCTACATGGCCGAATCATCATCATCCAAAAACCAAGGGATTTTCAATTGATTCTCAAGTGTTTAATGCATCATTCATCATGTAATTAATTGTTCTTACTAATCCACAACTCAATTTGGTCATCCTCATTAACTTGTTTTACAAGAAAACTATGTTCGTCCATCAAAATTTTCCTAAGTTAAATAATTCCAAATACCTTAAAATTTCATTGAATTTTCTTACACAAGACATCATTCTAAGCAACATTTATCAAAGATACATGGTCATTTAATGCCTCTAGCTAGCCAAACTAACATATAGATACCCTTATGTCTTTAATTTTTTATCCACAATAAATACTAAGAGGAGATGAGAAAACTTACCAAAACTAGCTCCACAACTCCCCAAGAGTGTTTTCCAAGCACCAAATAAACATGAACACCAATCCATGGCTCCACTTTCTTCAAAATTTTGTGGCCTTCATGGGATAAAGTAGTTTCAAGAAGAATGGAGGTGTGGGTTGAGTTCACTAGGTGATTTACTTAAATTTTCATGTGAAATGTTAAGGGATTTGGTGGAGGAATTATACGGCAATTTCTTGCCCTATATGGTTAGGAGGCCGCAAGTTTGAGGAGAGAAGGAGGGAGGAAGAAGATGGTGAATAGTACCAGCCATATAGCTTTTTGATGGTTTAAGTGGGATGGGTGTTACATGCCACCTCACACACTTAAAACTATCCACCTAACACTCTAATCTATTATTAATTCATAAATCATCCATTAAATCAAAAATTTAACATTCACCAAAATCCTTTAATAAACCTTGAATAGATGAATCAAAGTTTTCCAGTAATTCAGTGAAATTACTATTTTACCCCTAGTGGTGCCCCATTGGCACGTTTCCCCAAAAACTCTAAAATCTATCAAACAATACAATTAGTCCTATTTCTTGATTCTAAGTGCCTTTTCCAACATATATTCAATCCTAGAGCAGTAATTCACTTTTTATGTTTTTCGGTGCAACTGTATTGTAGTATTTTATTCGGTAAAAATAATATTCATCAATTTTCCAGAAACTTGCCTAACCGCTCAATTTTTTATTCTGAATCCACTTCCAATATTATTTTCATCAATTGAGGCCTAATTTTATCATTTTACAATTTAGGGTTACGTATTCGTTAATTAATTGTTTTACTCTTGTACGTATTTTGACTCAAAACTTAGAATTTTTACTAAATATACTCTCTAACCCACAATTTAACAATTAATACGCATTTTAAATATGTGAGGTGTTATAATGACTACTCATGATCTCTTACTATGCATGAATTTCCAAGTCAATTAGAATTCGTCCAAGTCCTGCTAGTTATTGTGAACGACTAATCCCTTATAGGATTGTGAGTCCTTTCGGCATGTCCATCTATACTCATGTATTTGAGTTATACCCACGAGTACATTGTTCTCCCCATTTTCAGGTTAATAAAGTTGTACAGTCAAAGTAGAACCCTAGGACATAGTGTTCAATGATATCCTCAAGTCTAGGACGATCCGCACTACCAAACAATGAGAGACTTTACAAATTTAATGATACTCTCTACACTGAATCCTTGTGGAGTCTCTCAGTGGGTCAGTTCAGTGCCACATGTTCTCTAACAGATCCACCCACGACATCAACTAAGGCATCTCCATGCCTGCATTCCATGAGGTCCCTACCTTGCATATCCATACAAGTAGATGATGTTGTACTAGTCTTATTGAGATCACCAATGCCCTATCTTGGTGATTCAAAACGAGGAACAAGTTTCAGGCAATAGACATGTAGTGTCCTCGAATCATCATAATCATGATCCCTATCATAGATCCTCGAGTGAACACCTATTCTATTCCTAGAGCCTTTATCTTTAAACACATATTAATCGTAAAATATAAGCGAGATATAAATATGATAAAGATAAAATTTGCTCAAATATATAAATCATTAAATACTAATCAATACAAGGTGTTCATGATCTGATAAAATAGATTATCTCTAGGACACCTACATACTAACACTTTTAACACTTATGTTGGCTTTCTGATAATATTTGAGAATTGAATGGGAATAATATTGTGAATGTTATGATTTTATATTTTCAAATTTTGAATATGTGACATGTATTAATAGAATATTTTATAAAATATGGATTTTGAGAATTACTTAAATTTTCATTTAAATTAGTTATATAATGATTTAGTTTTGATGGTATTGAAAAATAATATGGAGGAATAATATGGATTTTAAATGATCTCATGGTTTACTATTTGAGAAACATTGTAATATTAATGAGTGATTTTAAAGAAAATAAGGAAATAGTGGTTTATGTAAAATGTGATATAACTGTGATTAGTTTTCCTTCATAAATGTATATATTATGGTTTATGTTTTTAAATTGTTTGTGAGACGACTTTAAAACATTGTAAACTATTAATATTAGGTATTCCTTGGTGCACCATAACTTATTTATAAATTGAGAGCCTATTGTTGATTTATTGCAGACGGGGAGTTTGACATTATTATGAGATTTATATTTTTGATAGTGAGTTTAACATTGTTATCACATTATATTTTCATACGAGGGGTTGTTTGAGATTGCCATATTATAATTTTAGTGAAATATGAATTTTTAAATTATATAAATTGATTTGATTTAAAAGTTTGCTTTTCAAATTTACCGTGTGATTTCATATTATTTTGATAAAATATTAATTTATGTTATATATATAGGGGCAAGATATACTTACAACCAAAAAAATTTATCATATTTGCAACCAACCTAATCACTATTGATTTTCGTCAATCTAACGGTTATAATTTATTATAAATTAATAATTAATTAATAAATGTGACCCAATAATTTCCAATAAATTATAACCGTTAGATTGACGAAAATCAACGATGATTAAATTGGTTGTAAAGGTGATAAACTTTTTTGGTTGTAAGTATATCATTCCTCATATATATAAATTGATTTGAGATTTGATGATTTTTCATATTTATAGTTTGAATAAAATATTCATTTCATATGTTACAACCCACAAATACCGATGGTTTTAAATTTCATTATTTGCTCACTGAGTTACAACTCGTCTCATCGTAACTATATCATCCGTTTAGATTTTTAAGAAATTAATTTGGTGAAAAAAAAAAATCTTTAAAAAAACTAACGTGGTGACATATATATATTAATCTTTGGAGAATACTAGGCGAAAGTTTTACTCTTCAAATTTTTATTGGATACAATCACTTGAACGAAACTTCGATGGTTCATGTTATTCCTAAAATGAAGCCTCAAATTGTGCGTGTTATTTGGGAAAGGTATAATTAGTTGATTATAAATGCTAATAATTGCACCCCGCAATAGACTTAAAATTTCAGCGTGGCTTAGTGATATGAATATTTCTTCACGTATCTCACAAGCAATCACAGTGGAAACACAATAATGTCGTTAATGCTGTTTTTCTATATGGATTAGAAGTACAAAACATCATAGAAAATGAAACACTAAGCTAACTCGTTGTACCTATATAAGACATGTGGAAAGATCTATTATTCTTTTTTCCTTTTTCATTTTGCTTGTTAAATGATGACGCAAAAGCTTTGTTGGCGGAGTTATAGATGAACAAAGTAAATGTGTCAAATGAAACAAAAATGGGAAGGCCATTTGGCGGAGAAAGAGACGGTGAGAGTTTCAGCCGAAATAAAAAAAAAAAAAAAAAAAAGAGAAGAAAAGAATAATTATTGGAATAATTATTAGTTGTAACTTTTTTTCTTTTTTTTAATACAAGAGGAAACTTTTTTTTTTTTCTTTTGGCTAAAAAGGAATAACTGTGCTTCTCTCTTGTTCAAGTAAAGTGAATTTATATCTTCCTTGAGTTTAAAGGCAAAGGATTTATAATATATAAATATAGTAAGTTGTGATTAGAAATGGTAAGGTAGTGCATGATCCACCATCAAATGGGAACCAATTTCGGGTTAGTTGCAGGCTCTCACATCGGCAATGAATTCATTATCATTCGTCAAGATGGTGACTTTGCTGTAAGTAACAACTATCATATCTTATACAAAGTGATTATATATATTTTAATATTTTTAACTATGATTATCTTTTAGGATTAGTTTCATTCCACTGCTGAGTTTTCTAAAATCCCGAACTCTACATGAATTATTTTTCCGTAAACCTTCTATTAGTAGTCTATTATATATTCTATCACATCTCATGTCATCGCACTGTTATTCTTATCCTTATCCCTAATAATTCGTACTCAAATATATACACATATATATAAGGTTGTTTCTTTGTGACGAAAAGTTCATGTTTGAGTACGAGAAAATTTAAAAATTGTAAAAATAAGGCTGTAGACAATCGATGCTAAACTCTGTCCTAAAATCGGAAGCTTTGTGTACTGGATTTGCCTTTCTTTGATTTTTTTTTTGAGATATTCCAATCGGTTCATCGCTTCGCGACTAGTCTGATTCAGTGCGGACCTAGGATTAAGGCTTTAAACTCCTCTTTTTTTAAATATATGCAATATGAACATGTAAAGTAACAAAAGGATGGTAACATTAACATTAGCACATTGGTTTGGTGTGGTGCAGCAGAGAGAGTTGCAACACTTACATGGTCAAATATGCCAACTATGTGGAGATGACATAGGGGTTAATGTAGACGGTGACCTCTTCGTGGCATGCAACGAGTGTGCATTTCCTGTTTGCAGAGATTGTTATGAGTATGAACGCAGGGAGGGAAACCATGTCTGTCCTCAATGCAAAACTAGATATAAGCGTCTCAAAGGTATGTTAAAAGCACAATAGGATTCATATATAAGGGGCGATTCTCTCAACATTATTTTTTTAATTCTCAATACTCGAATTTGAGACCTGTGATGAAGAGGAATAAACTCCTTATCAATGGTTGGTGCAACTCCTTTTGATTGAGTGTTCAGGATGTGCTAGAGTTGAGGGGGATGAAGAGGAGGATGGCATTGATGACTTGGAGAATGAATTCGATTTTGATGGAAGAAATAAACAAGATATGCAGAAATCTGTGTCTCCTGAGGTAATGCTTTATATTGGTAGTAACTTTTTTTTTTTTTTTTTTTTTTTAAGATATATAATTATTAGAGAAGTATATAAATTATTGATGGGTCTTCACTTATTGTCTTAAAGATTTTTTAGTTAAATTAGTTATTTACATAGTATCAGAACTTAGGTATCTCGGATTCGATTCTTGTCGCCTCCCATTTTCTTTATAGAATTTCTTATTACATTTAGACCGAGCCTGCGTATTATCCACCTTTCAAATCCAATGGATTATCTTGTGAGGAGGTGTGTTAGATAAGTATATAAATCATTGATGGGTCTTCCTTATTAGTTTAAGTTTTTGGATTGAATTAATTCTTTACAAAGGCTCTCACCTAACACTTTAAAATTTTGGGTTGAAATAATTCTTTACAACATTAATAACATTGAGGTTCGAACCTACGATCTCATGCAAATTACCCAAACTCCTTATTATTATAGCAATGCTAATTGCTTATATTAATAGTGGTGGTTGTTGTAACATTCCTATATATCCATATAACATATGGCCCGCATAATCTAAAATAAGTTAGAGCAAATTATACTGAACTACTCTTCTCAAATTTGCTTAGATTACACTCCTTTACTTTATATCATAGTTTTCAGTTATAATTAAACATTAGCCAACTTTAATGAAAGCGACGATAATAAAAAATTTAACACTAAAGAAAAAATAATTGATCACTTAATTACAACTAGCTTTCAAGAAGAAAAAGCCACTTAATTTTGAAACTGTGAACTCATTCACCTGCAGCCATACTAAAAGAGTTTGTTATCCTTTTCTATTCATATTTCTTTATGTTAAAAGACTTATTATTTTTTTGTACTAAAACGAGTTATTATTTAAAAGATTAACTATTATAAAAAAACATAAAATGCTTTTATTATAACTTAGACTTAAAACGAGGATGACCAAATATAACACCCCGTTCTAGAACCGGTTTGTTATCATTACGTACGGCATTGAACGCAGTTACAAACACCAAATTGAATTAAACTACGGATAAACTTTTTCCTTTTTTTATTTATAAACGCTTTTGATTAAATCAACTCCGTACTTAAAACTATTCCCATAAGGTGAATGTAACTTAACTTAATGTGGAATTATTACTGTAGGTCTCATTTTTATGCTTTTATATCTAAACGCATCCTCTCTTTATTTATTTGAGAAATTCCTATTCTACTTTTATGACCTTCAACTTTAAATATATTATAGGATTATTCATTAGCTACGTGTGGGTTCAAACCGCGCTCAAATCAGAGCACCGTGGCCCAAGTTACGCATTTTCTAAGAAATTAGGTGCTGAAATTTCCAGGACCCCCACGCTCCTAGCGTGGGTCCCGCGCTCCTAGCGTGAGAATGCTCCAGAAGGAAGAAAGGTTGGCGCCCCTAGCGCCACAGTGGCGCCCTCAGCGCTAATGTCACTGCCTCATTTTGGCAGTTGGCGCCCCTAGCGCCACACAACAGGGCTGGATGCCAAAATAGGGTAATTTGACCTACCTATGGTGTTTCCTCCATAAATTTAGTTATACTCATCCGATTTACACCATCTTGGTCTCTATGGAAAGCTAGGAAAGTTTTCTACAACTTCCATTAAGACAAAAGGGTCCAAATCCATCATATAAAATACGAAAAATTGGACAACAAGACAGGATATCTTTACTTCTACATGGATTTTCCACTTAAAGGTCTTCTTTCACCTAATTGGCAATCATATAATTCTTTCAATATATGAATTCTAGTCTCTCAAAGTACTCATACACTAAGAGAAGCATGCATAACATTTCATCATATATATATATATATATATATCCATTAATTACAACCTTACAACATGTCTTAATTACAATTCATGGGACTTAGCTACAAAACACTATGATCATTCCCTTGGCTCCCACCAACAAAAGAGATAACCAAGGGCATGAGCATAGGCTAAGTCCATTCAAATACAACAGGATATACATCTAGCAATTGACTATCAATGAACAATCCTATACATGTGAACTACAAAATGACATGTATAATCTCAAAAACAGAATCTTCATGTATCACTGCTAATCCAAATATGGCCACTTGCCACTGGTGGCTCCTGCAGCATCCTTGCCTGAAAGGGGGTTCCCACAACACGGGGTGAGATATACGAATATATCCAGTAAACCAGGGGTCCTTGGAGCATCTCTCCACCCCATAGTTCAAAAACAGTGTAATAGCAATAACAATAATAATGCAATAAATACATATATATGCAATGTGTAAACAACATCTCCAGGAGAAATCCCTCGAGCTCTCAAGTCGTCCTAAGGATACTCAGATGCAAATAGTCCTACTGGCCAGCTAAACTACCAAGTATGATTTACGCATCGTCATGCAACATACCAACATAGGGAAACACCATCCTATGCCACACCAAAGCATACACATACGTATAACAAAGCATTAAACTATTTCATTGCATTTATACACACTATCACTACCACTACCCATTCAGGGCTTGGTGGAACAATCAAGGGAATTACACCCAAGGTCCGAAGGCTTACCTCAAAGCTTCAGTTCAACCTTTGTTCACCAACAAGTTTTGCCACCAATTACAATAATCAATTTCACACACCACCACTTACACACGGTGTAATGCAATCAAAACATTGCATTCAAGAGTATCTTTTAATCATAAACCAAGCTATCCAATTCATGCCACAACAAAAGCATGGACTTACCTATTCCAATGAGCTAATCAAGCTCCATAGCTTGCTCCAATGGTTGGTCGTTCAAGGTTGGTCCAAATGCCTCAATCCTAGACATAACATGGACACCATCAATATTCAACCAAACCAAACCATTGATTTCTAATGCATGAAAGTCCAACATCAAGCATTAAACCTTGCAATTTTCAAAGCATAACCAATGACTATCTAAGCTCATTTTCACCGATTAAATGTCATTCCTAGCATTTTTCATAACATATACTAAGTCGCAATCCTCCTAGAACATAGCCAATCAACTCACATTATCATAAAACTCCAAAACACTATTCATCAAAACCTAAATCATGTAAAACTCAAGGAATTTGTGTGAAAGAGATGGAAAACTCACCACAATGGATCACACAACAAGGAATGGTTGTTCCTCAAGCTTCCATGGAGGTAGAAGCCAACAAATCCCTCAATTTTTCCTAAGGTTTGGATTTTTGGAGGTTGAAATCTCACTCCACAAAGACTCCCACTCAAAACCAAGCTTTGATTGTGAAAGAGAGGAAGATTTGGAGTGGTTTGGGCTTTGGAATGGATGAATTTGGCTAAGGTTTGCACAACCTAGGGTTTCCCCCTTCCTTTCTCTTCTCCTTCTCTTCTTCTCCTCTCTTCCTTCCTTTCTTTCTCTCTTCTGGCGCACGACGGGTTGGGGAAGGGATTTGAGTTCTTTTTGTATTGTATAGTCACTTAACATAATTTAAGTGGGATCAAATGGGTATTGGCTCATCTATCTATTCAACTCCATTCACTACCAGACTTTACCCAAAAGTCTGGAATATTTTTCTATGAATATTTCCACTTTCATTTTTATATTTTGGATACTTTTGTCGGTACCCATTTATACCCCTTAATTTTCACTGAGTACACTTTTTACCTCAAAAGTGACCCCAATTCATTTAATTAGGTCCTATACGTAATTTTACTCACTATTACATGCTTAATTATTCAATCACATTTAATTTACTAATTAATTAGGTTAGGGCTATTATACTAAAACTCTAATATCATCTAATAACATAATTCTTCTAAAAATAAAAATAATTTTTGAAAAACATGAATAATTTTATTATAACGCTAACATCAATTCGATCATCACCGCCCCTCACTTTCAAGTGGAATTAAGAAAAGCACAAGGCAGACCAAAAAATGGCCTTGTGCAACACAAAGCGGACCAATAATGGACTTGTGTCATATTCACCCTTCAAGTCCAAAGGTCCAAAGGGCTCTTGCGTGAGGGGGTGTGTTAGAGAATATAATATAAATCATTAAAAAGGCCCCACCCAATATCTTAAAATTTTTGGTTGAAGTGGTTCTTTAACACATTTCATCTAAACATCGCATTTTTCTCATAATCACGCCGACTAATCTCCATATTTTAGTTAATTATTTAACTAGCCTCGTTTGGGAACTACTTTCTTCATATATAATAAGGCAACTCCTTGTGGTACTACTTAATTAGTCAAATCTCGAGTGATTAATAAACAAATTTTGTTTCTCCGTAAGCCAATAGGAGTAAATTAGTGTTGAGGAGTTTCCATAATTTGCAAGAAGTGATAGGTTCAAATCTCCATGTCACCATTGAAATTTGGGTAATCCATCCGTAATGTTACAGGAATTTTTTTGTTTTTCCTACAGATACAATTTTGTTGTGGAACCCATGAATTGTTTTTCTCTGTCTTTATATCATTTTCTCTCTCTCAAAATATTGTGTCTGTAGTACAATATTTCTTTTTCATGTAACAGCACATATGCATTCCCCTTGAAATTTTGTTCTGGGTTCTTAATTATTTTATCTTTTGCATGCATGCAACACACCTCTTGGAACAGGATGACGAAATATCTCAAGAGCATCATGCTTTAGTTCCCTCAAGTTCAACCTTGGGCAAAGAGATAATTGCATTGCATGCAAGACCCTTGGACCCTTCCAAGGACCTTGCTGCTTATGGCTATGGAAGTGTTGCTTGGAAGGAGAGAATGGAGACATGGAAGCAAAGACAAGGGAAACTTGGCAACATTAGAAAAGAAAATAACAATGAAGCTTTGGACAATGTTGTAGATGATGACACTGAATTTCCTCTGTAAGTTCTTCTCTACAATTTCTTTAGCATCAAAGTGAAGATATATACTTTCAATCTTAGTGGTTAATTTTATATTTAATAGCTCTAATTTATTAGATATATGAGTCATTTGAGATAAGCATATCAATGACTAAGATTGAGTATAAGACTTTTTATTCTTATATCAGTACTATAAATTGATTATGTCACTGTATATATTTATATAGGCTATGATCATTTTATATATGTACCTTTAAACTCTCAATCTTGACCATTAATTTCATTTATTTCAAATTGCTCTAATATTTTTGTTTACGGTAGTCATTGGATGGTGGTGGATTAATGGTAAAAAATGAATGTAAAACATTTTATTCTTACATCAGCCTAAAAATAACCAACGTAAGAATAACCTCTATATATATGGATATATATGTGTGTGTGTGTGCGCATATGCTTTATTATGAGATTGTAATGTTTACTTATGTTAATCAGAATGGATGAAGCAAGGCAACCATTGTCAAGAAAGTTACCGATTCCATCAAGTCAAATTAACCCTTACCGAATGATCATAATAATTAGACTAGTTGTTCTTGGATTCTTCTTCCATTATCGAGTTATGCACCCAGTAGAAAATGCCTATGCTTTGTGGCTTGTATCAGTAATATGTGAGATTTGGTTCACTCTTTCATGGATTCTAGATCAGTTCCCAAAGTGGTTTCCTGTTACAAGGGAAACCTATCTGGACAGGCTTTCCTTAAGGCAAGTAATGTACACATAGTTTTATGATATAAAGTTTTGTATTTATTACTACTTAGGGTCCTTTTCTTTTTCTTTTTTTGCAGTCAATGCAAATAATTTTATTTTATTTTTGCAGCACACACAGAAAATGTGGGACCCACTCATTTCAAAAAAAAAAGCCAAGATTCGTTGGCATATCTTGACTTTTCTATGTGTTGCTGCATAAGTTTTTTTTTTTTTTTTTGCAGCAACAACAGCTGAGCTATATTTTCCTATTATTTATTATGCTTTCTTTGCAAGTTTATTAACAAAATTTTGTTCATTCATATATAGGTATGAAAAGGAAGGTCAACCTTCACAACTATCTCCAATTGATATATTTGTGAGTACAGTTGATCCACTAAAAGAGTCTCCTCTAGTGACTGCAAACACAGTTCTTTCAATTCTAGCTGTTGATTACCCTGCTGAAAAGGTGTCATGTTATGTATCTGATGATGGCGCGGCAATGTTAACATTTGAGGTTTTATCTGATACTTATGAATTTGCAAGGAAATGGGTTCCTTTCTGTAAGAAGTTCAGCATTGAGCCTAGAGCTCCTGAATGGTATTTTGCTGAGAAAATAAACTATCTAAGAGATAAGGCATACCCATCATTTGTCAAAGAGAGAAGAGCAATGAAAGTAAAGATGTTTCCATCTCTTAATTGGTTTGTCATATAAATCTTCGTATTTTATATGATAAAAGATTTCTATTCATTGATACTGCAGAGGGAATATGAAGAGTTTAGAGTTCGAATTAATTCTCTGGTTGCTAAAGCTAGGAAGGTCCCAGAAGAAGGGTGGACAATGCAAGATGGAACACCGTGGCCTGGAAATAATGTTCGTGATCATCCAGGAATGATACAGGTAAGTAACTAAAGAACATGTCATATATATATATATATATATATATGGCCATTTTGGATTTTTTGCCTAACCTTATGATTGTCAATGTCAACCCTTTCTCAGGTTTTTAATGGAAAAAATGGAGGATATGACATGGATGGAAATGAATTACCATGCCTGGTATATGTTTCTAGAGAAAAGAGGCCTAAATTCAATCACCATAGAAAAGCAGGAGCACTGAATGCGTTGGTAAGCAGTACATGAGAAATGGCATCCTATAGTTATCTTAAAATGGACCCCTCCTGTCCCTCTATCAAAACTCTGGTGCATAAAACTCCTCGACTTTGCGAGAGTAAGATAAAGGGTAGATTGTAAGCAGTGTTACCCTTATATTTTTGTAAGAGACTATTTCCTAAACTCTAGTCCATGACCTTCTAGTCACAAAGGAGCAATCTTACCATCACTTCAAGGCTCGCCCTCCCTCTACCTCTTCCAATTGAAAGGGGGGGAAAAATTGAGGGTGACAAGAAGCTAGAGGATGTTCTACATTTTTGGTTAATGATGCAATTGACATCAGTGCAGAATTTTTTGATACATTTCCTTGTTGATCTGTTAAACAGGTCAGAGTGTCTTCCGTGCTGTCCAATGCACCTTTTGTATTGAACTTGGACTTTGATCATTACATCAACAATAGCAAGGCGATAAGAGAGGCAATGTGTTTCATGATGGATCCTTTATTAGGAAAAAGGGTCTGCTATGTTCAGTTCTCCCAGAGATTTGATGGTATTGATAGCAATGATCAATATGCCAATCAAACAAATGCATTCTTTGATGTATGAAAACTCTTCTCATACTCCAAAGAAATTACTCTTTCTTTTTCTTTTTTTGATTTTTCAATGTGAATGGAAACTATAATAAGCTTATTCTCTTCCCTTTTAGATTAACATGAAAGGTTTGGATGGTATCCAAGGACCTACATATGTTGGGATAGGATGTGTCTTTAGAAGGCAAGCACTGTATGGTTTTGATGCTCCAAGAAAAAAGAAGCCTCCAACCAAGACATGTAATTGCTGGCCAAAGTGGTGTTGCTGTGGATGGTGTTGCATGGAAAAAAGTAAGAAGAAGAAGTTGAAGAAACCTAAGTTTGTGAGAATGGAAAGCAATCTCAAAAATGTACATTCTGATGCATCTATAGCTGAGAGTGCTCTGATGTGTATTGAACATGGCACTAAAGGTAAACTTTTCACATCTAGTACTTGTCCGCATATTATATTAAACTCTCCATATATATCTCCATGATAATGGTTATTCTATGGTTTAAATCATCGGAAAAACTCTTTACTTCTCAAGAATAACTCTTTCCCATAGAAGAAAATGTTAGGTTATTTGACTTCAGTCAAATACTTACAAAAATTGTGTCATACCTATTTGATAATCTCTCATTTCGTTTTATATGTATAGTAGTGGTAAAGTTGCAACTTGTGACCAGAAACTCATAGGTGTGAGTTTAGGAAATAGTCTCTTTGTAAAAATGTAAGGGTATGACTGCCTGCAATCGATCATCACCCTTATCCTTGCAAGTTGGGTAGCCTTGTACATCAGAATTTGCCCTTTTTATATATATTTAATAAGCATATGAAATAGGAACCCGGATTATTTTGTGAATATATCACTCATCTAATCTAAACTTGTAAAACCTTGAATGTAGGAGTTGAAGATGAAATTTTGGCTCCAATCTCAGATCAGAAATTCATAAAGAAATTTGGACAATCTCCTATTTTCATTGCATCTACTCAGTTAGAAAATGGTGAGACACTAAAACATGGTAACTTTGCTTCTCAACTTACAGAAGCCATACATGTTATTAGCTGTGGCTATGAAGAGAAAACAGAATGGGGAAAAGAGGTAAAGAAATGTTTTCCATTACTATGATGCTCTTCCTAGTCTCCTTATTCAAACCATGGATTCAGCTCTATGAACAATTATTTTAATCATTCAGGTTGGGTGGATCTATGGTTCTATTACAGAAGATATATTGACAGGTTTTAAAATGCACTGTCATGGATGGAGATCTATATATTGTATTCCTGAAAGACCTGCATTTAAAGTATCTGCCCCAAAAAACCTCTCTATTGGTTTACAACAAGTCTTTCAATGGGCCCTTGGATCCATTGAAATCTTCATGAGTAAACACTGCCCTCTTTGGCATGGATATGGTGGAGGACTAAAGTGGTTAGAGAGAGTTTCTTATATAAATGCTACAGTATATCCATGGACATCAATACCTTTGGTGGCATATTGTACTCTCCCAGCTGTTTGCTTGCTTACTGGGAAATTCATCATTCCTCAGGTATGAACTTTTTTATTTTTTTGCAACCAAAAGATCTTTTTAGTTTTCTAATTTCTTATTATGATTGGAAGATTAGACCTAGTTATAGTTATAAGTGAGTAACTTGGAGCAACACAAATTCTTTTTTGATGGGAATTGTCTTTCAAGTTTTATGATAAAAACCATCATCCTTTAACCCGGATACATCATATTGGATCTATCAAAAAAGATATGGGATTGGGATTGGGATTCAAGTTGTATTCTTTGTGCTCCTTTGGAATTGGGATTCTTTGTCTTACTTAACAAAAATTCTTACTTGGGATTCTCGGAAGAAAGAATTTACTTGTGATTTGACATATTGGGGATTAAAACCCCCTAACAATAATTTTTTTATTATTGGGCTCATTAGACTCGTATATACCTAATTGAGCCAATATGGTTGGTTATCCACTCATTTAAACCATACCAGTCTAGGAATCTATTTGGGCTTTTTATTTTGATCACTTATTTTACCCGATAAATTAAATAACATGATATAATTGAAAATATAATATGATGCTCAAAATAACATTAGGAAATAAAATTTCCAAACAGAAATATCTATACTTATCAACATTCTTGTTGGCATTGCAGCTCAATAGTGCAGCTGGAATGTGGTTTATATCTCTTTTCATTTGCATCTTTTCAACAAGTGTGCTAGAGATGAGATGGAGTGGAGTTACAGTTGATGAATGGTGGAGAAATGAGCAGTTTTGGGTGATTGGAGGGGTTTCAGCACATTTGATTGCTGTGTTTGTAGGATTCTTCAAGGTCTTGGCAGGTGTAAACACAAACTTCATTGTGACATCAAAAGTAGAAGATGATGACAAGGAACATTCTGAGATGTTTGCTTTGAGGTGGACAACTTTGCTAATCATACCTACAACATTGCTGATATTAAACATGATTGCAGTAGTTGCTGGAGTTTCATATGCAATAAACAATGGCTTTGAGTCTTGGGGGCCTCTAATAGGGAAACTCGTATTTTCCTTTTGGGTAATTCTTCACTTGTATCCTTTCCTCAAAGGCATGATGGGTAGGCATAATAGGACTCCCACCATTGTTCTTGTATGGTCAATCTTGCTTGCATCTTTCTTCTCTGTCTTGTGGGTAAAAATTGATCCATTTTTACCCAAATCAGATGGTCCAATTCTAGAGGAGTGTGGATTGGATTGCAATTAGTTACATGCATGATAATAGTCATAGTAATTGTTTTGCTTAATTCAAATCCTGGTTAGTCAGAAATCCTAGAAAGGGTGGAAAGGTATAAACCCAAAACTGAATTTTTCAGGTCCATTAAGATTATGTACCCAAAAAAAATCCTGAATCCTAGGGGGCATGAGTTGGTAGAACTTTTTGGACAAAAAACAAGTGTTCACTTGATTCTTTTCTTTTTTACAAAAGAAGGCACTGTGTGAATTGTTGTACTACAATTTTAAATTTACCAAACAGTATACTGTAGCATAATTATAAATTCATTGTGGATCCAATATATTGAGATTGAAACTATATACATTGCTAACATGTTCAACACGATGACTTGCTATGATAAGAAGTTTTGAGCATCGTTCACTTATTATTTGCGAAAAATTTAATTTTATGTTCTAAGAGAACATTTTATTGTTTTCACTATTTTTTTCTGAATTCCGTAAACAAAATAAAAATTAAATGAAATTTTCTTATTTATTAATGAAAACATATCAACTAAAAACCAAAATATATATATATCAAACGTAGATTTTGTTAAATTGATTTAATTTTTCGTTTTTTGAATCAAATTTTTTTTTTTATTCAGTTGGTTTGATTTTGAAGTTTGAATACGTCTAATTATCGATTCCTCTCTTACGAATTTTGTATTTAAATAATCAAAGAAATAGCTTCATTTTTATTAAATATATTAAGTTATTTATTGAAGAACATAATCAAATTAGTGCCAGTTATATAGTCTCCAAATGATGGTCAAGATAGTCCTTAAATACGTATTCCGTCAATCAAATTAAAAAACAAGGTTCATGACTTGGGTTTGGGATATTTGCGGATTGGATTGGATTGATTTTAAAGACAAAAGTCATTTAATCCAATTCATCAGTTTTCTTATTTCACTATCCAATTAGTTTGGCTTTACATTTAGATCTGATTTAATTCATTCCAACACAATAAAAGAAGTTTGAATAATATTAATTTTTTTTAAAGTTAGTAAACAAACCTTAAAAAATTAATAAATATAACAAAACTAATTCAAAATATCAAAGATATCATCCCACAAGCTATAACGGATAGGTTAGGTTCAGGATATGCTCTAACAAAAAAAAAAAATAGGTGATAACCAATAAAGTTCAGCAGAGTTGGATAGATAACTGGGTTTCTTAAACATGCAGGGGTTCGATCATTGGCCGTGTATATGAAAAAAAACTTTATTGGGAGAGGTTTATCCACTTAATGTGATCTCCTACCTCGAAAAGATTAGTCTTCAGCTGTCAGCTGGAGGATACCTTGAGAAACCAAAAACCAAAAAACCAAAAAAGAAAAAAAAAAAGTGATAAGACATTTCCGTAAAGAGAAACAATTTTGGCTATTATCTCATGTCCGTTAGTTATTTTTCTGGCGTAAACGTTTGTTCTTAATTGGGCAAGGATCCGAGTTCCTATACAAAACAGATGGTATAGCGAATTCATAAAAAAATAATGTGCATGTTTGTATGGTCAAAATATGATAATGTGGTGAATTGATAGATTGAACCCTCGGGTTAATGTGTCAACTCACCAATATGGGGCGATTTAGATTTAAGTTTATTTTAAATGTTATATGATAAATGATGGCTTTGTTGGTTTATCATTTATGTTCATGGCTATTATTATGAGACATAAAAATTTCTTGTAAGTCCATAATGCTATTGTTTCATTGGGGAGATTATTTTTTATTCACTTCTGATTTGGTACAAAAAGATATTAACACAAAAAGAAAAGAAACTTGAGTCCGCTTTTGGATTTTAATGATGGTATTTAAAAAAATAAAACTAGATGCTAATGAAATTCTAATTACAAGATGTAATTATGGGTTCATTTGCATATATTCACATGCGTGATGTCATTCTTCTGTTGTATGATAACACATTAATTATTAATTAATTTCAAATCATGGTTTATTCAGTTATACTAAATGAAATTATTGGCTTAAATCATTCTTTTATCATTGGTTTATTACTTGACGATTGTTTCAAACTTGAAAAATATTTGGATATTACATATTAGAAATAAAGATTAACATTGAATTTACTTGTTTATTTTTTTTCAGTATTTTAATTTTTTAAACTGGTTGACCCATGCTTCAAAACGGGATAACTTAGTATTTTCAACCCATTCACTAATAGCAGATCAATCTATCCCGTTCCATTTTTAGCGAATTAAAATTGGAGCAAGGTGAGATGGGACAGGTCAGCCAGTTTTGTCAAGTCTATATGAATTGATAAATAAAATTACAAATGAATGCATGTTTGTAAATTCAATTACATATTTATGCGTCTCTGTAAATTCAGTTTAGGTACACCTCTGACCTTGGCTATTGTCATATACACCTTGAGGACAAGGTATGTGTAAGGGGGAACAAAAATAATAGGAATGGATGTATGCAAGATAGACCTACAAAAAGATAATGAGAAGTATGTATTGTACGAATTTGTTTTTGAGAGAATGCATTAGTTGGTTACAGATTTTGAATTCTATTATTATCATTGTTGAACATGACTCATATTTCATATTTAGATGACAACTCTTGTTGATGAACCGTGAAGGCATGGGCTTGAGCTCATGAATAATCACTATTACTTAAAATTTATAGTTTCTATTCCGGATGGCTTAACCACATCCGAAGCCCAAGGGCCTGTTAACATGGATGGCCCAGTTTCGCAGAGCCCCAAACAGCCTAGGCCCAAAACCCCAAGTTACACACATGTCAGCCCTACCGGTTGGCCCTAGACGCCTGTCCCAAGGCAGCTCACCTCCCAAGGTAAGACACCAAAATGTCTTACCTTGGAACCCCATATGCTCTGCGGATCGCCCAGAGACCATAAGTGAAAACCGCCCTACTGCCGCATGCTGACACCGCCCAAGAGCAGACTCTGTATCACAGCAGTACCAGGCGTGTTAGCTTCTCACAACGAATCCCAAGGAGCGTTGACCTCCAATACGTAAGCCCTAACGGATCAGCCTCCAGGACTCCTATAAATACCACCCTTGGGCACAAGAGAAAGGGATCTTTTATGTACTGTTATTATGCCCATTTACTTCTAAGTCATACTCTTACTGTTTATCTGCCATTAGTATATGCTTGCATTCTCTTGGAATAATACCTTCTAGTCTGGTCTTTACCTCAGCTAGGGGTATTACCCATATAATAACATTACCCTCAAAGGGTACATAGTGGGCTCACAGAACTGAACGGTACATTGGCGCCGTCTGTGGGAAATTATAAACTTCTATTCCCATTCTCCTACCACTAAATACACCAGACACTTACCGTTTTCAAACTAACATGGTCGTCACAACAAGGCGAGCAGAACAAGTAAGGGCAGTAACTCCAGAAGGACACGTGCAAACTGTGCACTCCCCCCCTTTTATGCACTCAATCCCAGCCAGGCGAGAAGCTGCTGAAGCCTTTCCCCCAGTGCTGCAACCTGAAGACCTCCAGGTACCAGCGGACGGTCGTAGAGCAGCACTCCTGAATCATCAAGTTACAGTACAGGAAATGCAAGGAGAAAACATAGTTGAAAACCAACCCCCACCCCCTGGGGTCCAATTTGGAATGCCTTTCCCTACCCCCCTCACCCCCCCCAATCGTGTCCAACCAGCACGAAGCCAACCCGTAGCACTATATAATGACCATCGGGTCCCAACATACTCTCCCAGGCCTTATATGAACAATGTGGCCGCTCCTTTTCCAAATGGCTACCCGTTTCATGGATACCTCTTCCACACTCATAACGCGGCCATCCCCCAACAACAAGGATCGGTCGCGAACCTTGGCCAACCCCATTTTGGAGCCCACCAAGCCCCAGCTATCTCATACTCAGTCGAGGCCCCTCACGTACTTCGCCCTCCACCAGATTTACAGGCCCGTAACCTATGCTTACTAACAACCCCTCCAAACACCTCAGGGCGTAATAAACCCCTGACTGATAGCCTACGCCTCACTCCTATTCCCCTTGGCTTTAAGGGACCATCCAATATCGTTACGTACGTGGGTGACACTAATCCATTCGAATGGTTACAGAAGTTTGAAGCGGCAATGACCCTTCATGGTGAAACATACCTCCTGATGTGCAGAACCTTCCCAACGCTATTGGGCGGGAGAGCGTTAACTTGGTATACCACCTAACCAACGGGTAGTGTAGCATCCTGGGATGATCTGGTAAGAAAGTTCCAGACCCACTTTGTCACCAGTCGCCCCGTACCAAAGTCTGTCCATACCTTGGAAAAAGTACGTCAACAATCCGGGGAAACTCTTAGGTCCTTTCTGGATCGCTTTGACAAAGAAGCCCTGCAGGTACAAGGGCTAGACCCAAAGGTGCAGTTACACATACTTTTATCTGGATTGCGTGAAGGAGAATTTGCCTACGAGCTTGCTCGTCACGAGGTTATAGACCTTGAAGAAGTCAAGCGTAAAGCTCAAGAGTTTATGCGAATCGAGGAGTACAAAGGAAGTCGAGCAGGCGACAGCCACTACCAAGAAAACAGAGAGACTAAATATCGTGACCATGCAGAGAAGCGAAGAAAGGGTCGCAAACCTCCCAAGTATGTCAGTCGCCAACAAGGGCGAGACATGGCTGGACGTCATACGCATAGCGTCCTTCAGACAGAGTACAAGGAGGAGCGCAAAGATAGCCCAAGGCGTCAGCAGCAATCTCAAGGAAGTGCTGTATACCGCAAATTCCACCGCAGTAACGGCCACAGTACAGAGGAGTGCAGGCATCTCAAGGACGAGATCGACGAGCTCATCAACAGCAGAGGTCAAAGAAAGGCGGGAAGCAATGCCCGAATCCTAGGAATCAATAGGCGATATCGAGAGCGTTCCTGGTCGCCAGATCGAAGAAGGAGCACCCAGCCTAGTTACCAAACTCATCGCGGGAGAGATCGCAGGGAAAGGTCTCCCCCAATCCGCAAGGCACGTGATAACCAAAGCAATAG